AATAAAAAAAGAAAAAAAAGGAGCTATCCAGCCAAGATCACTGATGCTGGCTATGCTGACAACATAGTGATACTAGCTAACCATCTAAAAGACACAACATCACTCCTTCACAAGATTGAAAATGTAGCCCAGAAAATTGGACTGTATGTTAATGTGGGTAAAACAGAGTTTGTCTACCTGAATCAAGATACATTGAGAGGCATGAAACATCTGGACGGAGAAAACATTAAACAAATAGATGACTTCAAATACTTTTCAGTAATCAAAAAGGTCAGAAGCTGACCGTTTTTTTGATTACTGCCTCCACTGAGAATGATGTCAACATCAGACTGGGAAAATCTGGAGAGCATTTAATAAAATGAACAAAATCTGGAAATCAAATCTACCAGACAATCTGAACAGAAACATTTTTAGAGCTACAGTAGACTCCGTCTTTGTATATGACTCCTTAACCTGGACACTTACAACTAAACTGAAAAAGAGGTTAGATGATGCTTACACACAAAGTCTTTGATCAGCACTAAACAAATCCTGGAAAGATCACCCAACAAAGAAAGAATGCTATGGCAACATACCTCCCATCAGCAAATCAATATGCCAGCAAAGACTAAGATTTATTGGTCACTGTTGGTGTAGCAAAGAAAAACTATCTGGAGACGTTCTACTCTGGATACCATCCCATAGAAAGAGAACACAAGGTCAACCAAAGAAGATGTCACAAAAAGTAGTTGTCTTGTATTTTAAATAAGAGAAAATTATTATATATGGTTAAAAAAAAGTGAGACATGACTTTTTATTAGAAATTTTATTATGACAGAAAGAAAAAAGCATTTTATGATTAAATTTTGCTCTCGTCAAAATATCCTCCTTTAGCCTTGGTTACTGCAGCAGAAATTTTTGGCATTCATTGCAAAAGTTTCTTAAAGTTCAAGTTTGATAATTGATTTGATTCTTTTTTTTGACGTCGCTAAGAGCTCTTTTTCATTTTTTTTTTTGATTCTTTTGTCATGTTCATCACATACTGATTCTGGGGATGACTTCAAACCTTTGATCTGTAGCATATATATGGCATGATGACTGCGTTTAGCATGAAACAGACTGTCGCCTCTGGGTGTTGACTTCAATGTCCACTTTTATATTTACATACTCTCTATTCCTGATATTGAGTATACCTTAAAAGTATATTTCATCCTCTCTCTCTCTCTCTATATATATATATATATATATATATATAAAAAATATATTTTTTGTTATTAGTGGAGGAGACAAAATCTGTACCTGAGCAATGTTTGGTAATAATCTTTTGTCCTTATATTGTAAACCCATAATTTTAATTTTTAGTTCTTAAAAGAATTTTGGGTTGAGAGTAAGAATTTAATTTAGCTACTTATTACATAGTGTCTGATACATCATTGTTCAGCCAGCAAACTGCACTTGTAGGTCATTATTTGTGAGTTTGACCCTCACTGGGTGCCTCATACTTGTGGTCTTGTGCAAAAATCTAAGATATGTTTATTAAATAACAATTTAATAGGTGGTAAATCTAGATTTTATCTCAGTCATCATTATCAAACTTTTGCTCACAATAAATAACTATGAAAGAATACTTGCTCTTAGACATGTGTAAACTTTCTTTTACTTCTCTGATAGACTGAGTTAAAAGAAAAGACAAAAAATAATTATAAATTCCAAGAAAATGAAGATTTTTTGCATCAGGATTATTAGGATTACAGTGTATACTGTAGTCATGGAATTATATAGAGAAGCTTAAAAACCACCATTCTCTCTCTCTCTCTCTCTCTCACACACCCACACATACAAATGCCTTAGAAATGTTTAATACAAGTTGTAAATGTCAAAGATAATGTCTTCATTGTTTTAAGGAAGTGCATTTTTTGTCTGGATTAGGCCAAGTTGATTTCTTTTGGCATGTTCCATGGGGAACACTGACTGGAATGATTGGTAGAGTTGCACACTAAAGTTAAAATTCTCTGACTTTACAAGAGATTTGAAATAACTTTCGTTTCTAGAACTGTCTTTTGATATAAATCATTTTGCTTCGTTGTTGCAGCAATGTAAAACTCTTCACAAAATTCTTACCTTTTCTTCCAATTTGAATCTATGTTACTTTGCTTTTGAAATTCTGGCTTAACAAGCAAACCTATTTGGTAATTGTGCCCAGCTATAAATGTTGTGAATTAGAAACTGACCTTTTTGATTACAGACCTTATATGCAGTGAAATAGTTTGGCTTTGGTTGTGGACTAAGATTGGAGTTGAATTTACTATGATATGTTCAGAAAGTGTATAAAACAGCTGTAAATGTTGAGATGGAAAGAAAAATAGACCAAAGTAATGTATGTTTGATAAACTATCTGAATTAGTCTACATTGAGAAAAGTCATGTAACCTTTTCTGTCATGTACAACTGTGTGTGTCATTGCATCTATCAGCTGACACATGACATACAGCCAGGAGACACCTGATGATTTCTGGAACAGAACTTTTCTGTTTCTTCTGGTTCAATGACACACCCACCTTGGCCAAAAATATTTTGCAACTTTGCAGCCATAAGATTTATTCTTCAGTTCTTTTTTTCAAACCTCCCTACTGAATAGCTGATGATTTTCTAAAATAAATATGCCATCTTTGCAAAATATTTTATGAACTGGTCTAAATAGTAAATAGATGGATGCTGACAGTTAAAAGCAAATATAGTAATAACTTGAAGAAAATGGAAACAAAAAAGACACTTAGAATAAAAACAAATTAAATTTCTAGGATGAGGAAAGAAGGTTAGAAAAATTGACACTTGCAAAACATTGACGGCAAGGGGAACAGAGGAAAACAGTAATCTATTAAACAAGTTTGTGTAAATGAATGGCAGAACCTGAGATGAATAAAAAGAAAAATGTTACTAGGAGCTACAAAAGATGAGAAGTTGTGAAGAGCCATGATCGCCCACACCCTGAAGTGACTTCTTTTATGTTCCGTGTCCCTTCAGGATGTAGGTGATCATGGTCCTCCACATTTTCCTGTTCTTTGTAACTGTTAATGTTTTGTCTTTATTTCTCTCAACCCCTGTTCTGCCATCCATTTACTCAATCTTATCACAGTGTTACATGCTGCTTTTCTCTGTCCCTCTTTCCCTCAATCTGTCCTGTGAGTATCAAATTTTCCAAGTCCTCCTTCCTCAACACATGCCCCAGAAATTTCAACTGTCTCTTCCTGATGTTAAGTATGTTTCCTTTTTGTTTCTATTTTATCCACAACCTCATTGTTGTTCACATGTTCAGTTCATGTTATCCTTAGCATCTAAAAGAGCCTTATATTTATGTTTTTTTTTTTCAATATCATAATGTTGATTCTCCAGCCTTCATGCAAACTTTCTGTATAATAGGAATTTTTTAAGAGGTTGTTACTAATGTTTGTTTTTTTTAAAATTTGTAATTATTTGAACATTTGATGTCTGTTTTGTTTTTGTGACTGTGAAAGTGGGTCTGACCTCCTAGTTTGAATTTAATAATATAACTTGATAGGGCCTCAGACTTGTAAGAGAAAAAACAACAAGCAATATTGCTGCATGGTAGGATTGCTTCCCCAGGATGATAATACCAAGTAATCACTTCCTTGACAAATCTACTATGGTAATTTTCAACTTGGATCTCATGGTTTGAACATTCTTACCATTCAGTCTTGTGTGCGTATTTATATATATATATATATATATATATATAGATAGATAGATAGTTGAATATGACAGACGAGGAAAATTTGATGAATTTTTTTTATTTAGTTTGTCTAATATTCTCACATTTTTCTGTTTTTTGTGGGTAAGGGAGTATAAAAATTGTCTATAGTGTCTGTCATCCCGAGTGCTTTTGGACACTTCTTTAGCCATTTTCAAAGAGTTTTGTTTTTGAGCGTTGTTAATTTCATTCTATACTGGGTGCGATAGATAAATTGTTACCATTTAGTATTTTTAATTTTGTACATGTGTGTTGTTAGTGATTTTGTTGAATGCACAGTATAGGAAGGTCAGATGGACACCCTCTTTAAGAAAAAGTGCAGCATGGCACAATTCACTCCCCCAGAAATTTGGAAACTGCATGCAGTACTGCTTGGCATTCATACTAGAAGCTCCAATACAGACATTTCAGAGTGATTGGTTGTCAATCTAAGGACAGTGCTGAGGATTCGGAAAGAGTTGGATAATATATCCTGTTAACATCATGGTGTTTGGAGTGATCACTTGTGGTGGCAATGTTATGTCTCCATTCATCTACCCATAAGGCCTCAGACTCAACATGGAGGCCTACATCAAAAACCTTGAGAAGATAGTGCTGCCTTGGGCCAAGAGGGTGGCTGCTGGAAGACCCTATGTCTGGCAACAGGACTTTGCACCACACAAGCAGGAGAAACCAGTCAGGGCAGCTAGACAATTTCTGCAACCACATTACCCCTTACATCTGGCCACCTAACTCCCCAGACTGCAACCCCCTTGATTATTATGTGTGGGGCACAGTTCAGCGAGAAAAAACAAAATTCCTTTTAATACCAAAGATGAACTGAAGGCAAGAATTATGGCAGCATTCACCAACTTAAACAAAATGATTGTCCAGAAGAGTTGCAGGAGATTCCAAAGTCGTCTGGAGGCTGTGGTTGAAGCCAATGGCAATTTTATTAAATAACTTTACTCTTTAGTATTTCAAGATATTTTTATGTAATTTTGGTAAATATATCTGTTAAAATGAGATGTCAGTTTTATTTTCATTTTTGCATAATTTAGATGACAATTTATCCATTGCACCCAATATGATTGAAAATATATATATATATATATATATATATATATATATTTTTTTTTTTTTCAGTTATTTCACCCCAAGTAAAGCAGGAATGCCACTAGTATGCAGAGGGTTATAGTGAAGGTGAGAGAGAAAATTTGGGTATAGAAGGGATTGATGAAAGGACAAAAGATGAACAGTATTCAAGAAGATAGATGGTGATTGATGTTACATTTAAATTTTTCAAGATTGTAGTTATCAGGGTAGCAAGTAAACAGACAGGAGTTCCACAGGTGGGAAGTGCAAGAAGAGAAACTATTGGGGTAGAAGTGGCAACAGTAGGTATATGTAGCTCTGTCTAACTACATTGAGCACTGTTTTGGATTAAATTAAGTATTTATTCACTTATCAGTGTATGCATGCTAATGCACACATATACAATTGCTAATATATATGCGTGCATTAGTGTACATACACAGATAAATAAATAAATATTTACTTAATTTAATATAAGGTGTAAACAAAACAGTGCTCAATGTAGTTAGACAGAGTTAAGAAATATATATTTACAACTTTAGTTGCAGTACAAACATAGGTATATGTATATGTATTTATATATATATATATATATATATACACACAACCCTGGATAATCAAAATGGTATGACTGTCACCATTACTACTAGTTTTCCACAATGAGGCTATCCTCAGACAATGCGATGAACCATCTGAGGATTGCTTCATTATGCTAAACTGGTAGTAATGGTGAAGGTTATATCTCTTTGACTGTCTTGAATTGTGCTCAACTCTTTTTAAGATTGGTTTTCTATTTTATCTAGTCTAGATTATTGGATACTTTTTATCTTGTTAAATTAATGTTGTTTTTTTATTATTCTTTTCTTTCTTTTTGGTTGCTTGAACTCAGTTTATTTTGCTTTTTTTGTTTTGTTTTTTTTCTTTATTCTGTCATTATATATATATATATATATATATATATATATATACACACACACAGACAGACATATAAATATTGATGAACCAAAACATTATAGCAGCTACTGTTCCATAAGAAATGTATATGTCAGCAGCCTTTAGTATTTTATTTTGTTGTGTTGAATGCCACAGTTCTGGCCAAGATGGAAGATTTAAATTACTTTAATGAAGTCCTAATTGTTATAGCTGAAAGAGTATTTCCAAAATGGCATGGCTTGGGAGGTATTCACGTTGAGTTGTTGTGAATATTTATTGGCAATGATCTGAGGAGAAAAAATTAACCAATCACCAACAAGGCACTGGGTGGCTAAGACTTATTGATGCAAGAAATGGGAATTTTTTTCTTGCAGCTGAAAATGCTATTTTTTAGTTTCAAATATTTACCCCCTATTCTACAGGCTGAAGATTACTGCTTTTTTATTTAACTTAATTTTATGCATCTAACTTTTTAAAATATTTGATAGATCATAATTTGGGTTCGTCTTTGAGGCATCATCAGTGCCAGGAAATATGGTAAATGCTGGCATCTTTGCAGAAATGTTTCTTCTTCATATGATATCACAAATAAATGATTAATTTATTATATATTTTATGGAATTGTTATTTAGCACAGATTTAGGAGTAAGAAGAGAATGCACTTAAAAACAGAAATGTTTCTTAAAAAATAATTAAATGACAGATTTTTTTTTAAGATGAATTCATTCATTTCTCATTAGTAAGGTCATCCAGAATTATGTGTGTAAAGTAGCTTAAGTTCATCAATAAATCTTGCTGTCACCCTTTTCCTTACAACCCTGAATCACTTAACTCTCTCTTCTCTGTGTGACTGACTTGTTTTTGTGACATTTGTTTTTCCATTAAAAAGACAGCTACTTATGCTAATCAAGACTAATTTCTTTAAGTGATTTACAATGTCTGACTATCTCTACTAAATCTTGTCTTGTTTAGGATTTGTGGACAGTGCTAAAAGAATACGTTTATTTATTAAATAGTATAACAAACCTGTTTATTTTGAAAAAAATTAAATTGTAGAGTGTGTGACTACAGTTAAATGTAAATAAATTGCAGAACGGCCCAACAAATGGAATTGAAATAGTTTGCATTAAACAAAAAGAAAAGAACAGGGTAAAAAATAATATAAAGCAAGCAAACAATATATACAGGGAAAATTAACAGTAATAAAGCAAAATGTTCACAAACTAAAAATTGGGTTTGACACATAAGAGCAAATTTGTATAAGTGAACTTAGCATTCTGACTTCAATACAAGACAGATCGGGACTGAGTCATATGAAACTGAGAACCAGCCTATTTTATTGGCTAGGAAGAAATCCCAGCATGCATTTGTGTGTTTCTGCCAATAAATTGGAGAAGGGGAATGTGTTTTGCAGTCATCCCTACAAGGACTGGAACCAACATAAATTAATTTCAATTCTGTTTTAGTCTAAATAAACCTTCCACATTAAAATTAGAATAGAATAAGAAGTTAATTAGATAAAAGATAAAAATATGAAATAAGAACATTTTCTACTTACTAGATTGGTGGCAAGATTTCATCATTTTACAATTGAAATGGTGAGATGTAACAGTAAGTTCTATGCTAACAGTTTCTTGCCTCTTGCTTTCCAGTCAGCTTTGATCTTTAAAAATTTAAATGCAATGTCAGTTGTTATTTTCTGTCTTCTCAATTATTTTATTGTTGTCACTCCTTAATAATTTTTTCTTCTCATATTCTCTCACGTTCAGTAAACCCTTATATCTTAGTGGTTTTATTGCCTTGTTTGGGGTTAAATGATTAAAAAAGATTAAAAATATTAACAACTCCAAACTGTTGAGGTTTGTGAAACCTTTTTCTGATTCATCAAATTATCTCTTTGGAAGTGATGTAAATAAATACAAGCATGACACAATATCAAAGTTAGAGAGTGTCTCTTAACGATCAAATACAGTTTCAGTAATTTTCACAACTAGTTTACTGATCCCTATACTATGAGTATTGATTGTTTTTTTTACATCTTATCAACTCTTTGTAGTTTATTTAAAATTGAAACATATTTTCAAGATTGTAGGAAATATTGCATTAACACATTCTTGACAATAACAATGATTTTTTCCAGATACAAATCCTCCTCTTTAACCGATAGCTAGGGGTGGGGGAGATCGATTTATACCTTTCCCCAAGCTTATTTATTATTATATGAGTAAGTGAATGTAATGAACGGAATTGGAATTCAAACTCAGCTCTCCAATTTAACTGTGCCTCTATCCATTACACCACCTGCACGTTTATACTGTAAACAAATGGCGAATCAACAACCAGAAAAACTAAATGAAGTACTAATATCAGTGTTAGTACTGAAAGTTAACATTGTCAAACTTTTTGTCAGTTTAATGATTTTATTGAATGATGATTTATCTTTTGCAATACTTTGCAAGAAGTTGTGATTATCAAATAAAGATTATTAGTGACAAAATAGACAAGAACAAAATTGCTTATCTTGAGAAAAGAGTGTTTGTTTCAGTCAAGCAAAAATATTTTTTTATCTCAATTTTTATATTTGTCTTCCTTTAAGGCAGTGTCACTTTTTGACTGGAGTTTGCTGACGAAACATTTTTTACAAAAGAATGAAATGGGAAAGAATTCAGCTTCAAGCCATAAAATGATCTATAACATTATATCACCCAGAAAGATAATAGCTTTGAATACAGCCTTAAGAACTTTCCAATAATTAGCTGACATTTTCCCATTTTTATTTGTTGAACAACACGGTTAGCTCCTCTTGTTATACCATGAGTAAACTGTTAACTGAATGGAATCAACATTCCTACATGTATGGGCAGAAACAAGTTACTAATTTAAACTTAGCAAAGGGTAAATTGTAAACCATTATAGTCTTCTATGTGCTATATCCCTTTTGGATATGGGCAATCATGGCTCTCCATATCTTCCTATCCATTGTAGTTCTTAGTAAGGTTTGCCTTTTCATCATCCCTGTCAGTCTCTGTTCTGCTATCCATTTACACAAGCTCATTAGGTAGGGTTACTTGCTGTTTACCTATATTGCTTTTGCCTTCAATATGTTCTGTGAATGTCAAATTCACTAAGCTATTTTTACACATTATGTATCTCAAAGATTTTAACTGTCACCTTCTAATGTGTCCTTTTTGTTTCAATTTTCCTTAAAACTTCCTTGTTGCTTACATGCTACATCCAAGCTATTCTCACCATCCTTCTGTAGAAGCATGAGATGGTGGGGGGTCCTACTGACAAATGCTGAGAATACTGTGGACAAAAAATTACCATGGACAAAGCATTTAGGAAATGGTGAGGTTTTCGTGAGAATAGGAACTACAAAGAAACTGCTGCTAACAGTCAAAAAGAGACAACTTAAATTTTTGGGATACATAATGAGGAAAAATGTTTGGAAAATTTAACACTCTCAAGGCATATTGAAGGCAAGTGAAATGAGAGAAAAGGATGAATAACTTATTTGACAAGATTGAGTAAATGGATAAGAGTATAATGAGGTCTAGTAAAGGAAAAAGAATTATTTAGAGTAATAAAAGGCTCTCATCCTATATCTTCACAATCAAAAATATTACTCAAAGTAAAAAATGAAAATGATGCAGAAAATATATACTTTTTTTTGTAAATATTGGTAAATATTTTGTGAAATCAGTTTTATAAATGTACATAAATGTTTTTAATAAATACATAAATGTTTTATAAATGTACATAAATATTTGTACCCACATTCATATTCAAAACTGTAAAAATGCATAAAATGATATTTTTATTGTATTACTGTAACCTAACATGAGCTGAATTTGGCTCTGAAACTTCCACTGTATAATGTTCAATCTGGGTGATTAATATTCATGGCTAAATGAAGTATATTGACAAAGGAGATTATATTGAAAAATAATGTAAAATAAATGTTTTTCTTAATGATCAAGCTGTGGAATTACTGACTTACCGATATATTTTCATATACAGAAGATTATGCTTCTCTTTTTATTTACCAATTAAATGTCTAGTGAGGGATCTAATTGTGTGTTTGCTGACAGTATTCAATACCATCATGCTAATTTTCAAAGCAGATTGCTCCCTTTTGTAAAATTTTCTCAAAACAAACTGTTTCTCATCTTTGCAATTAGTAAATTTTTGTACTTGTAAAATCTTCACCACTAACAAAATATATCTTCGTTCATTCTTAACTAGCACTGTAAAAGTAATAAAATACAAAGAGAAACTAAGGAATGACATTTTATAACAACAATGATAAGAACAGTTTAAATAAATTAGTATATAATAAATGTTATATTAAATGGTATCCATGTTGGCCACGAGTTTCTTGGAAAGAAATTTTTTATCTAAAACTTTGAGAATAGAGAAAAATTTGATGTTTGAATTTAGGTGAATCCACATTAATATTCAACTTGTGTATTTTTTTTGTTTCCATTTTTTATTTTTTAGGATAAGCGTCTCCAGTGTTTCACATTACAAGGAGTCAAAGAAAGGGAGTGGGCTCTTGAGAGCCAGATCCGCTATATCAAAGTGACAGGAGGACCTGTTGGTAGGGAAGGCTTGTTAGTTGGACTCAAATCTGGTCATGTAAGTTGCATCTTTGTGTTGTTCTGAATTTAGTTTGGCTCACCAGGAAAAAAATGTTATTTTTATCCACTTTCTTTTTTTTTAACCTTACAGCTATTTTGAAATTCAAATTAATTTTTATTATAGTTGAAAGGATAAAATTTTAACTATTCAACTTAATTCATATTTCCTGGAATTTATGTAATGAATTATTTCATATTGAAGAAAATAAGTTTTGACTGATCTAATTTTACTTTTTTTTTTTAAACATAATCTGTTGAATACAGTGAGTGTGAAAAAAACGGTAGCAACCTAATAAGTTGGACTTAGTACTTATGCTCCTTTGTAGGCATGCACAATTGAGGATAATTATATGCTTATCAGATATCACTATAAATTCAGAACCTAATTGTTGTGAATAAGAGAGCAGTGGAAATGATTGTCTAGAGTTAAGACACCAGCTAATCAGCTTGAAATATAAGCGAAAAAGAAAAGGATTAACACAAAGTGGAATTGGTAAGCCAAGTTCAAGTTCCAGCTTTGTTTGTTGTTTTCAATTTACACTATAATATTGAGAAAGGCATGAATCCATTTCTTCTTTCCTCAGCTATGAGTTAAATAGAACGGTAGACTGAACTAGTAGGGTAGCTTTGGAAGGTAGCCAGTCTAGGAGAAGGATATTCTGAATTTAACCCATATTCTTGTGGCATCAGTTTTAGTTTATTACTTTTTCCCCCCCATATCTTTAAACTACAGGGTGCGATGGATAAATTGTCATCTAAATTATTCGAAAATGAAAATAACACTGACATCTCACTTCAAAAGATATATTTACCAAAATTACACAAGAATATCTTGAAATACTAAAGATTAAATTTATTCAATAAAATCGCTACTGGCTTCAACCACAGCCTCCAGATGACATCTGTATCTCCAGCAACACTTCTGGATGGTCTCCTTCTTGAAGTTGGTGAATGCTGCTATAATCCCTTCCTTCAGTTCATCTTTGGTATTAAAAGGAGTTTTGTTGATCTCTTGTTCAACTGCACCCCACACATAATAATCAAAGGGGTTGCAATCTGGGGAGTTAGGTCGCTAGATGTAATGGGTGATGTAGTTGCAAAAATTGTCTGATAACCATGACTGGGTTCTCCTGCTTGTGTGGCATGGTGCAGAGTCCTGTTACCAGACATAGGGTCTTCCAGCAGCTACCCTCTTGACCCAGAGCAACACTATCTCCCCAAGGCACTTGATGTAGACCTCCATGTTGAGTCTGAGGCCCTGTGAGAAGATGAAAGGAGGCATAACGAGAGTGAATTGGAGAATGAAGTATGGAAAGCCGTTGGTATAAAATATTTGGCATCTTTACAAATATTATTAAATGTATATAATTGGTAACAGAAGCCATTTGATGAAATCCTGAGAGCTCAATGTAAATTCAGAGCTATACATAATGATGTGAAAAATTTAAGACGCCCCATGAGAATTTATGTGTTTTTCAATAAATTTGAACAAGGGCTTTTGGTCTTCATTTTAGCATTATTTAAAGATGGAGCTAAAATAATTAAATGAATAAACCAGAAAAAATATTTAAAAAATTATTTAGAAGATTTAATTGATGAAAATACAATTTTCTTGTGAGGACACCACCAAATGGATTGCTAGTTAAAATGCCTAAATTAGAATCATGTACACTAGATCAGATTCAAACAATCAGAACATTATTAGAGAGGGTTTTGGAGGTGCCTGTCTTATTTAAGCCTCAGAGATTTAGTTTGGTTAGCTGTTGATTGTTGATAGTGAGATCAAAAGACTTCTTGGAAGCTGTCAGAAAGAACATGGTTAAGTAGATGAGTTTGAGAAGAGATTTAAAATGATCTCCAAACAATTAGAAATTCACTATTCACTGTCTGAAAAATAATTTACAGGTAGGAGACATTTAAACAACTGCTAACATACCTAAGAGCAGAGTGCAAGATGCTTCAAGAAGTCTCTAAATATCTTAAAATGTCATCATGCATCAAATATTACAAAGTCTGATTTTCATGGAAGCTCTGCAAAGAGTCAGAAAATAAAGATGGAATCTATCAGAAAACTGAACCCAAGTGAATGTGAACTGTGCAACATGACAATGACCCCAAACATTCTAGTAAATCCAACAAATAATGGTTCAAAAGAAAGAATTCAAGAGTTCTGAAATCAAAGAGTTCAAATCAAAGCCCAGATCTATTGAGATGTTGTGGAGTGATTAGAAACTGGCTGTGCATGCAAGACACATCTAAACATCACACAAATGAAAGAAGTTTGCATAGATGCACAAAGTAAACAGTCCCATAAGGCATCTAATTGAAGCCATTTCAGCCAATGAGGGTAACACTAGTAATTAGGGCCAAGAGTGTCTTTTCACTCAGTGGGAATTGGCATTTTTGCATAATTTGCCTATCATATTGGTTGTATTTGACCTATTGCTCTGAAAATTGAGTTTTATATTCCATTTTTTGTGCTCATTAACATAAAAAACTTGGCATCATATGGGCATTAGATTCTGAGAAATGAATGAAAATATTCAAAATTAATGGGTGTACGAATAATTTTGTTGTCAACTATATATATATATATATATATATATATATATATATTGTGTGCGAAACATTTATCAGAGAACACAGACTGTAAGCAGATTTGACAATTTATATGTAAATAATCCCATCAATTTTTATAAGTTGTATGCTAATAGATAAATAACTCTTTAATCTCTGAGGATTCCACATTGGAAAATTGGCTGATTTTATTCCATTTGTCATGTCTTCTCACCCTGAAATACTCTAAATGTAAAACAAAGACAATCATCACATTACAAAGTTCAGAAATATTCAATTCTTTGTAGCCAAGCAGCAAAGAGCCAAATGATCAGATTTGTTTTCTCTATAACTTTGTAATGTAACAATTTTTAAGTGTGCTGCTTGCTTCTTATAAATCTATTTTTGAACTGCTTCCTTTTTATTTTGTTTTGCTCTTGTTTTTAGTACTTCATCATTCTTGGCATGAAGAAAGATTTTTCATGACATATGTTTATGTAGACATAATTTAGAAGGCAACATCATTTGCTTAATTGCCTCCCCAAGTCTGATCTCAGCAAGGTTCAAATTTAAATATCCATTGCTGTAAAACTCAATCTATGACTTGTGTCAGCTACTTTTTGACCAATTATAATTTTCACTTATGATGTTTGTGTAGTTTCTGTTTAATGTTCTGAAATAAAGTGTTATCATTATTTACTTTAAGACTAATATCCTCATCTTTATTGTCATTATCATTATTTACAGACTAATATCCTCGTCTTTGTTATTATTATCATTACATTCTTCTTTCTTTTTATGTGCCATGTCCTTTCAGGATGTAGGCGACCATGGCTCTCCACCTCCCTCTATCTCTTGCAGCTCTTAACAAGTTCCTTCTCTCTGCTTCCTCCCCCAGACCATGTTCTGTCATCCACTTGCTTAAGCTCGCCAGGTATGTCACTTATTGTTTTCCCTTGTCTCTCTCTCTCTCCCTATATTTGACCTGTGAGTATCCAGACCCTCCTTCCTCATTGTGTCCCAGAAACTTCAGCTGCCTCTTTCTGATGTTAAGTATAAGATTTCTTGTTTGCAACCTATCTAAGGCCTCATCATTGCTCACATGCTCAGTTCATGATATCCTTAGCATCCTTCTGTAGAACCACATCTCTGTCACCTTGAGTCTCTTCATCTTTGAGGAAATCATCCAACATTCGCTGACGTAAAGAAAGGCAGATGTCATGCAACAGTTCAGTATTCTTTTCTTTACAGTTGAACTAATATCTTCATCTTTATTGTTAATATCATTATTTACATTAAGGCTAATATCCTTATATTTGTTATTATTATCATTACATTATTTACAGTTTGACTAATATCCTCATCTTTGTTGTTGCTATGATTATTGAAATTATTTACAGTTTAATAAATGTCCTTGTTTTTGTTATCACAGTGTTTTGGCCATGGTACCCTCTGTCCTTCTTTAGATGTCTGAAAGTCTGTGTAACCTACTGGGAATTTCAAACTGAACTTTTTCCGTAGATTGTTCTTGTTCTGCTCACCATATTGAGGGATATCTCCTCTTGTTCTTTTTTTTTTTAATATTGCTCATTTATTGCTTGCCTTGTTTCCACTGTGCCTGAGTCTGTACTCTACCTGGCCCAGTGATTGAACTGTGGAAGGCTGGAGAGCAAGATGGCCAAAATGTTTTGATAATAACAACAAAGATGAAAACATTAGCCCAACTGTAAATAATATAGATATTTGTGTGATTTCGCAAAAATCACGATAGATACATTAAGGGACTGGAATGGTTATAAACACTGCATGTTTTTACAATGTTTTCTTGCCTTCAGAAGATTGTAGCCTATAGTTTTTGTCTTCATATAGTTACTAGTTTAAAGGATTAATTTCAACATCTGTCTATATTTCCGAGATGAGGTATTTAACTATTTACATTGTTAAGACTGTTTGTCCTCATCTTTATTGCCATATTCATGACATTTTGGCTGTTGTATGCACTGGCCTTCTTCAAGTGATATACGTTGGAATTTTGAAGAGAACCCTTTATTTAGTCCATTAGGGTAGATTGTTCTAGTTCCATGTGCCATGCCTTTTCTGAATGTCTCATTTTCAGTTATTTCCTTTAGTAATTCAACTCTCCAAGTTTTTGTTCACCTCTGTTGTGGCTAGGTATTGAACTCAATTAGCACTCTTTGTATTAAGTCACTGGATTACTTCAACCAACACTTTTATCCACTAGGCCATGTGTCTCCAATGACAATAAAGATGAAGATAATGAACCAAACAATGTAAATAGTTATTTTCAACTATAAAATTGTTCAGTTTCATTATTACTGAATATACCACATAAATATTTATATATTTTGCAGGATGGTTTTAAGTTTGTTATAACAAATTCATTATTAAAGCAGTTGTATTCTCTCTCTCTCAGATCTGCTA